GGCTGAGAGCGGGGGGAAAGGATCCCAGGGGGGGCGTCGTATCTGACCCCGGAGGGGGGGTCCGACCCCCCCCCCCCCCTCCCGGCGGGGGGAGGGATCAAAAGGGAAGGGGCTTTCCCTTCGACTCAATTACGAGGTTGCTCAAGGTCGGCTTGGCTGGAGCCCAGGGGAAGAGGAGTCCCAGGGGGGGGCGTCGTATCTGACCCGGGGGGGGGGTCGACACCCCCCCCCCCCCTCCCGGCGGGGGAGGGATCAAAGGGAAGGGGCTTCCCTTCGACTCAATTACGAGGTTGCTCAAGGTCGGCTTGGCTGGAGCCCAGGGGTTGCTCAAGGTCGGCTTGGCTGGGGCCCAGGGGAAGAGGAGTCCCAGGGGGGGGCGTCGTATCTGACCCGGGGGGGGGTCGACACCCCCCCCCCCCTCCCGGCGGGGGAGGGATCAAAGGGAAGGGGCTTCCCTTCGACTCAATTACGAGGTTGCTCAAGGTCGGCTTGGCTGGAGCCCAGGGGAAGAGGAGTCCCAGGGGGGGGCGTCGTATCTGACCCGGGGGGGGGGTCGACCCCCCCCCCCCCCCTCCCCGGCGGGGGAAGGGAATTCAGAGCGAAGGGCTTCCTTTCGAATCATTACGAAGGTTGCTCAAAGGTCGGCTTGGCTGGAGCCGTGTGGAAAGAGGGAGGTCCCAGGGAGGGCGTCGTTCTGACCCGGGGGGGGGGGTTCGACACCCCCCCCCCCCGGTCCCGGCGGGGGAGGGATCAAAGGGAAGGGTCTTCCCTTCGACTCAATTACGAGGTTGCTCAAGGTCGGCTTGGCTGGAGCCCAGGGGAAGAGGAGTCCCAGGGGGGGGCGTCGTATCTGACCCGCGGGGGGGTCGCTACCCCCCCCCCCCCTCCCGGCGGGGGAGGGATCAAAGGGAAGGGTCTTCCCTTCGACTCAATTTACGAGGTTGATCAAGTCGCTTGGGCTGGATCCCAGGGAAGAGGAGTCCCAGTGGGGCTTCGTATCTTGACCGGGGGGGGGTCGACACCCCCCCCCCCTCCCGGCGGGGGAGGGATCAAAGGGAAGGGGCTTCCCTTCGACTCAATTACGAGGTTGCTCAAGGTCGGCTTGGCTGGAGCCCAGGGGAAGAGGTCTCCCAGGGAAAGGGAAGGACAGAGACGACGAGTACAAAGAATGACGGAGATGACGGCTCGAACGGAAAAGCCCCTCACACACGCCGACAGGGTCGGCGGATTTTAGCAGAGCAGGCCGTCGTGGCCAGTGGCTTCTCAGCATTCGCCGAAAGAGAGAGAGAGAGAGAGAGAGAGAGAGAGAGAGAGAGACGAGAGAGAGAGACAGAGAGACAGCGAGAGAGAGAGAGAGAGAAAGAGAGCGCGAGAACACCAGAAAGGAGCGAGCGATCAGTGGCGCGACCCTGAAAGGGGGGGGCGGTACGCTCGGGAGGGCGCACGAGGGAGGAGAGGCAGCGACAAAGGAGAAACGAGTGGGCAGGAGGAGGAGGAGGAGGAGGAGGAGGAGGAGGAGGAGGAGGAGGAGTCTGGAGGGAGGTCGAGCCCTGCTCGTCCCTGGCGGCCCCCCCGGCCGCCCGCAGGTACATGAAGGAGTTCCGGAAGTACTCGGAGCGGTACCCCTTCAGGCAGCGCTCGGAGACCGCGCGGGGGGGGCTGGGGTGGGGCGGGGCAGGTCTGCGTTGCGGGGGCGCCCCTCCCCCCCCCCACCCCGCGCTGGGCGGCGGGGGTGTCTCTTCCCCGCCCCCTCGTCCCGCCGTCCCCCCTCCCTCTTGACCCTTTTTCCTCCCCCCTCCCTCTGCTCCCTCCCTTCTTCCTCCTCCCTCCTCCCTCCTTCTCCTCCTCGCTCGTGCTTCCCCTCCCTCCCTCCTCCCCGTCGCGAGGCGGCTCTCCACCACTCGCCGTGAGGAGGAGGAGGAGGAGGAGGAGGAGGAGGAGGAGGAGGAGGAGGAGGACACAACGCCGATGACCAGTCGTGCAGCCGAAGAACAGGAGCACGGGCCACCATTGGGCACGAGGAACTTAGACGAGCTGATTGCCCGTCTTGGGGTGTTTGCCAGATCGGATCGCAGTGATAGTATACCGCTTTCTATACCTGGCTGGCTTGTCTTCGCAGGACCATTGCAGTCCAGATCGAGGAGGAGGAGGACGAGGAGGAGGAGGAGGAAGAGGATGCGGGGGCGAAAGTGGCGCAGCAGGAGGAGGAGGAGTTGGAGGATGAGGAGAAGGAGGAGGAGGAGAAGGAGGAGGAGCTGGGGTTGGAGAGAGGAGGAGGACGAGGAGGAGGAGGAGGAGGAGGAGGAGAAGATCAGGATGAGAATGACGAGGAGGAGGAGGAGGGGAGGAAGAAAAGAGAGGAGGAGGAGGAGAGAGGACGAGGAGGACGAGGAGGAGGAGGAGGAGAGGGGGGGAGGTATAGAGGAGCGAGGGTGCAGGAGGGGGAGGAGGAGGAGCAGGAGGAGGAAGGAAGGAGCAGGAGGTGGCGTGAGGGGAGGATGAGGAGGGAGGAGGAGGAGGATGAGGAGGAGGAGGAGGAGGAGGTGAGGAGAAGAAGGATGATAGAGGATGATATGGAGGACGCAGGCTGGGAGGGGAGGAGGAGGAGGAGGAGGAGGCGGCGACGACGACGACGTCAACGACGAGAAAGACAGGGGAGGCTGATGAGATGGCGAAATGGGGGAGACGCGGTGGAGGAGGCTGATGAGATGGCGAAGTGGGAGATCCGCTGATGAGATGGCGAAGTGGGCGACGCGCTAATGAGACAAGGTGGCAGGAGGCGCGGTGTAGGAGGACGCAGTTCAGGGGAACGCGGGAGAAGGAGAGGTTGGGGGATGGGGAGGAGGAGGGGAGTGGGCGGGGGATGGGGATGATGAGGAGGAGGAGGAGGCAGGCAGCGAAGGTGGAGAGGAGGAAGAGGAGGGTAGCAGGAGGAGGAGGTGGAGGGGGGGAGGTGGATGTGGATACGGAGGGAAAGAGGAGGAGGAGGAAGGCGGAATGATTGAGAGAGGAGGAGGAGGAGCAGGAGGAGGAGGAGGAGGAGGAGGAGGAGGAGGAGGAGGAGGAAGAGGAGAAGGAGGAGGCGGAGGAGGAGAAGGAGGAGGAGGAGGAGGAGGAGGAGTGGGGGAGGTGGTGGAGGAGGAGAACGAGGAGGAGGAGGAGGAGAAGGAGGAGGAGGAGGAGGAGGGAGTTGCTGGGCGTCGCGGTGCTCGGCCGGGTCGCGGCGGAGCACCAGGATTCCAGACGGGCGGAGACGGGCGCGCGCGAGCAGATTGGCCCGACGCTTTCCAGAAGGAGGGCGAGGGGGATCGGGAGCGGAGGGGGAGGAGGAGAGGGGCAGAACATAACAGGGGCACGGGCAGAGTAGGGTCGGACCGAGGTGTAAGATCGAGGTCGATTCGGGGAGGGTGCCCTACTGTTCTTCGTTCTTGTCGGATTGTCTTGTGCATCCTGGGGTGTTGCGGCCTGCGGAGGGTCCATGGTCTTGAAGGATGTGTTTCTGTCTCAGGTCCAGCCGTAGGGGGAGAGGGAGGAGTTTGGGGACGATGAGGTGGATGTGGTCAAGTTGGAGGGTCACGCTGGCGGTCGAGGAAGGGGGGGGAGGTAAGAGGACAGGGGGGGGGGGGGGGAAACACGGAGGAGAGGACGGGGGGAACTTGCGGGGACGATAACTTTAAGCACGGGGGAAGTGTGGGGAGACGCATCGGAAGAGGGAGAATTGAAAAAGGCGGGGGACGAGGGAAAGGGAGGCGAGGAAGAAGGGGGGTGGGGGACATTGAGGACGGGAAGGATGAGACAGGAAGGGGAGAAAGACGAAGGAGGATCCGAACTAGGAGGATGAGAGAGAGTTGAGAGGAGGATGAGAAGGAATGTGGAGGAGGAGGAGGAGGAGGAGGAGGAGGAGGAGGAGGAGGACGAAGAAAGCGCCCACCCATCGCAGGAGACGCCCGAGATTGCGGTAGAGCTGTCGCTGCAGTGCTGGAGGCGCTCTCGGAACCGACGGGGTCGTTCATCGTCATTTGCCCCCACTCTCCACCCTCCTCCCCCCGACCTCCGCTCCCGGGTGCAGGTGGTCGCGCCCGCCGCTACTCGTGCCCCCCAGAGAGCTGTTCCAAACGTGCGGCCCCGTTGGCGAAGTTGTTGTACAGTCGGGGCGTTGACCTAAGGAACCCTAAATGAGGACCGAGGCCCCCTTTTCCCATGAGTTGAACTCCGATTCCCCATCGAAGCCCTAAGCAAAACCAGAGGCGAGCTACACAACAACTAAGGAGCACCGAGCCCCTCCCCAACGAAAAGGGTTCCTTCTCCAGCGCCCCGACTGTAGGAACATCATAATCTAATGGAGGCCCCTCCAAAACTAACGCAGGCGGCTCTGGGCCACCGACCCACGCAGGCAGCTTCCGCGGCACGCGGGGCCGGGCTTCTGGGAGGAGGGACGGGCGGAGCTTCTGGCCCGAGCTCCCCCTCCTCCTCCCTCCTCCCTCCTCCTCCCTCCTCCTCTACCTCCTCCTCCCTCCTCCTCATGTAGCGTCCCCGCCAGGGCCGGGACTCCTCTCGTGGAGATCGTGCCCCACGGTCGGGTGCTGCCGGAGGTGTCCCTGGCCCACGGCGTCCCCAGGGGTTCCGAGGAGGCACCCCCGGCCTCCAGAACACCACGCAGGAGGCCCAAGGAGGAGGAGGAGGAGGAGGAGGAGGAGGAGGAGGAGGAGGAGGAAGCGAAGGAGGAGGAGGAGGAGGAGGAGGAGGAGGAGGAGGAGGAGGAGGAGGAGGAGCCCTTGGGGCGCCAGACATGGAAAGACAATTTGAGGGCACCTTGGCCCAGGGACACCTGTAGCACCCACCGAGGATTCGACGCTGGCTCGAACGAAGATGACCATCAACTGCTGAGCAGGAGAGGGGTGATGTGCAGTCGTTGGCATGCCTGCGGGGTTGCCGTTCTTGCGCTGCCCGCTTGTTGGTCCTTTCTGGAATGCCCCGGATTGGCCCATTTCTGCAGCGCC